CTTCGATGGTGCTCTTAGTCTTTTTAAAAGCGCTGCGGAGACCGACCTTTTGAGTAACCCTAGTGAGATCGCTGCCCCCAAACTCATGAAAAAGTTGGCAGATATATATTTCACGAAGGTCACTACATCTGCGGATTCCACTTTCTCCTTAACTCCGCGTCAGGTAGCCTTATGGAAGTCCCAACAGGGGGATCACTCTTCGGCCTGGTTGCGGACGGTCCCGATATCGGCTTTGGGTCAAACTATGAATGGTAAGACTTACCGTAGTGTTCTTTGCTACCTATTAGGTGTTCCTTTGTTCTCCGTTTCAACACCATGTTCTGCTTGCTCTAGGGTTTTTGACGGGGATATTTATGGGGATCATGCAGTGTCTTGTGCTGGGATGGTGGGTATTAAACATCGGCACAATGTTGTTCGTGACACCCTTGTTGATATTTGTATTCGGTCTGGAATCTCTGCTCGAAAGGAGGTTAACATTGGGTTGATTGGAGGAAACGACGGGGCTCTACGACCTGCAGATGTGCTGCTTTATTCCTGGGATAGAGGCCTTGATGTATGTGTTGATTTGACGAGGTCTTCACCTTTGACACAATCGGGGTTGTCTGACTTCGTTCCTGGTCGTGTTGTGTCGGCGGCGGCTCAGCGGAAGCGGGACAAGTATGGGGCGCGTTGCAGGGCTATTGGCTATGGTTTTCTTCCTTTCTCCTTTTCTTCGTTGGGGGAATTAGAGAAGGATGTTATTGCGTTGCTGAAGCGGGTTCAGGCGTTCGCTAAGACTCAGGATATTGGTGCTCGTGCAGCTGCTCACATCTTCAGCAGGATCGGGTTCGCTATAGATAGAGGGGTGGGGGCCCAAATTGTATCTCGGCTCCCTACCAATTTCTTGTAAATTGATTGACTCTGTACGTTTTGTTTTTTTATAATAATAATAATAATAATAATAATAATAATAATAATAATAATAATAATAATAATAATAATAATAATAATAATAATAATAATAATAATAATAATAATAATAACCTACTGCTGCTCCATAGTTTCCAATAGCTAATTGATAAAAATAGAAATTGTAATTTGCAAATTTAATTTTGCTACTTCCTAGGACCTAGGGTTTATCAATAAAAAATTAGGAAAAACAAAACACAAACAAACTACGGAATCTAGGACTAGGAGATAGAGTAGCTGAGTAGGTAGAAAAGACAATAGTATTTTAGTACAAATACACGTTTGAGCTACATATTTGGGCCAATATACAATTCTTTTACTGCTATATCATTTACTCAACTCTAATTTATTTTTTTTGGGCCAAAACCAGGGGCCAGGCCCTTGATGGCCCCCCGTGAAGGTCTAACTCTGGTTAAGAAATATAAAACTAACTGCAATAGCTAACGGCAACTTAACGGCAGGGTTACACCTTACACACTAAAGCACTAAAGGCACCTTAGGGGTTACAACGTATAATTTTGAAAGTGGGTGGACACAGCTTGAAAAAGTGAATACCTCAAGGGTACTGTATAGAAAAACCCTAATTTTTACTTTATTTGATAATGATGTTTATAGTTGGAATCGAAATGATCTTGGCAATGTAAATGATGCAAGTATATGATATTAAATTTTAAAATTAACAAACAAATTAAATAAGAAATTAAAAAAAATAATAATATAAATAAATAGATAAATAAAACAAACAAACAAGATACAGTTAAAAGTTAAAACTCAAATCATAATTCACAAGTCATGAAAGGGGGAAAATCTTTAAACCACTGATCCACAAGGTTGGGTAACATAACTGTTTACATCAAAATCGTTTTACTACATCCGTTAACTTTTAGTTGCAACTTTGGAATATTTTATACTTCACAAATAATAACCTTAAGTTGTAACTAAAAGTTAACGGAGGTAGTATATGTATTTTTTAATTGTGATAAATCTTTAAAGTTGGGCACCCAACTGTCGTGGGCCCTAAGCCTCACGCTCCTCGCTTACGTCCAGGGTCGGGCATGGTGATAAATTATTTTTGTTTATCATGGAAAGAAACTTGTATAAATTGATATAAAATACAAAGTATATGTTCATATTTTTTTTAAAAAAAAAAAAATCTTCATATTTTATAAACTAGTTGTTCATAATCCGATATGTTTTAACTTTTTGTTTGATCGAGATTATGATGAACATCATGGACCCATGTGTAGTACTACCTCCGTTAAGTTTTATTTGCAACTTTGAGGTGCAACACGGATCCCAAGTCAAAATTTCATAATGGTGATTATGGAATGAAAGGTTTGTGATTAAGGAGGAGAGAGATAAATTAAACATGATAAGTAAACTACCCAAGCCACTCACCATGTGACCAAGCCACCACAACCGAAACCACCCAAACCAGCCACCACCTAAACCAGACTAGCCACCACCACCAACACGTACCCCCCAAACCCAGACCACCGAAACCATCGAAACTACCAAACCCAGACCACCGCAACCACAGACACTACCAAAACTCCCAAACCCAGACCACCACAACCATCGATACTACCGAAATTCCCAAACCCAGGCCACCACAACCACCGACACCGCCGAAACACCCTAAACCCGGCCTACACCACCGATCTACACTAGCAAAACCCCCCACTGAAACCCCTAACACCACCTAAATCTAGACCACCCACCAACACCGACACCATCGACACCGCCCACAAAACCCACGAAAATCACTTAAACCACCCACAAGACCCACGAAAATCACTTAAACCACCCATAAACCCATTGAAAATCATCCAAACCACCCACAAACCCACCAAAAATCACCGAAACCGCCCACAAATCTACTAAAACCCTTAAACCCAGAATACCCACAAACCCACGAAAATCATCCAATACACGAACACATGTGTGTTGCTTCCCTTCTTGCCGCAAAACCACCATAGCCACGATGACGTTGCTGCTAGTGCTTGCCGGAGTCGAAATCAATGGAGGTTGTGATTGAGAGGAGAGAGAAAGAGCCAAGTTGGGAGTTGTTAGATCTAAATTAATTTGTTAGTGTAATGTAATTAATCATTTAAGTGAATGTTTAATTTTTTAAAATAAGGGCAACATTGACATTTCCAGCAAAAAAACTTACTAAAAAGGGAAAGATTTGGGAAAGTTGCAAATAATACTAAGCATCCAAATATAGTAAAAGTTGCAAATAAAACTTAACGGAGGTAGTATTAAAATTTCATTACCACATCCATGACTTAATTCACAAGAAAGTAACAATAGTTAATGTTATGTATTTAGTAATATTTTCTTTATGTCTAAAGGATTGTCCTATATCTTGCTCAACAAATTTTTCTACTTGTACATTTTTAGCTCTCTCTTCATCTTGAAACGTGTTCGACCAATTGCACAAATTTGGATGTATTTTTTAATAAATTTGAACTAAAGGTATGAGACAATCTTTTAGCGACGGTAAAATATAAGGCATTTAACATGATAATAATTTGCACACTTAGATACTTCTCTCTTCTACATATTTTTGTAAGTCTTATGTGAACACAACGAAAATTCCCATAAATTTTTTTGCTATCATCTTAAAATTCAATCCATCTCTACCAATTCTATCATTATAAACAAAAAAATCAACTCTTTTAACTTAAATTTATTTTTTTGGAAAGTACCTTAGTTCAAATGAGTTAAATCGAATCTTAATTAATTGTACATAAATAATATAATGATAAATTATTTCCATATTAATGCTACAATGCACATATATAAGGAATAAGTTTTCGTATCTATATTATTATTAAAACTCATAGGAACAACCTGCTAATGCCATGTGTCACCCTTAATTATTATTATTTAGTGTCACATGTGCGCCATGTATCATCCCATGTGTATCATTTTTTTTCTCATTGCATTGATTTCTGTAGTAATGTGTAGTTAATTAATACTTCGTACTACTCTATAACTTTAATTCTCTATAATAATATTTAATTTTCATGAAAAACTTTTCATATGTACAACCTCCATATTTAAATTTGACATGCATATATCTTAAATATATATATATATATATTAATAAAATATAATATAGATTATTATATTTTTCATCATTCCCTCACTTTATTATAATCTGTATTGTTTAACATTAACCGTTTTATTTAATTTTGATCAAACTTAATTATAATATACGATGTAACGGGGCATTGCCCGGACCAATAACTAGTTTTAAGTTTTAGGAAAAATTGACAATAATAATCCCAACTTTACCCCATATTTAAATTTGACATGCATATATCTTAAATATATATATATATTAATAAAATATAATATAGATTATTATATTTTTCATCATTCCCTCACTTTATTATAATCTGTATTGTTTAACATTAACCATTTTATTTAATTTTGATCAAACTTAATTATAATATACGATGTAACGGGGCATTGCCCGGACCAATAACTAGTTTTAAGTTTTAGGAAAAATTGACAATAATAATCCCAACTTTAACCCATTCGCCCAAAATAATCCCAATTATTGAATATTTCACTACAATAAAATAAAGCAAATGTAACAATGCAAAACCATTGCCTAATATAAAAAAAGTGTTGTCTTGTAGCTAAGACAACACATATTTATTCAAAGACAATAATTTTGAAAGCTTAAGTAAAATAATACATAAGGCAACACTTTAACAAAGACAACAAATGAAAAATGTTGCCATCTAAGAAGATAATTCAAAAAAGTTGTCACTCCCAAGCATTTAGTAGTTGGTAGGGCTCGAACTTGTGACTCTAGGTGAGTTCCCCACCAACTCTACCAAACTTGCTCATATATATATATATATTGTCATTTTAATATAAATGTTGCTATAGATGGCAACATAGATATTAATGTTACATTTTTCAAACAATAGTTTTGTTATTGTTATCTTTTCATGCAACAATTATTATATTTGTTGTCTTAGACAAGTAAAAGGTAACACTTTAAGCGACTGTTGCCTTATATAGTCTAGAGCAACACTTTTTTTTTTTTTTTCTGTAACTTTAGTTCAAGCTAAGGTAACAAATAAGTATTGTTGCGTTAGATTATTAAGAGTAATATTTCTGTAAGTGTTGCAATCTTAAGTGTTGCCTATTCTCATTTTTTTTGTAGTGTTTTTTAATAATCCGAACTTTAATATCCATTTGTTTTCAATGGTCCCAACCGGCTATTTAACTTCTTATAACAAGTTAGCTGACACGTGTAAAGACGTAATTGGTAAAAAAAAAAAAGAAAAAAAAAGAAATTAAAAAAATAAAATAAAATAAAATTCAATTAATTGACTAAAGACCACCACCACCTCCAGTAGCTCCAGCCACCCTCCGGCACCACACTCCCGCTGCAATACCGACGGCCAGACCCACCACCCCGCACTGGCCGGCAATGTCGCCGTCCTTTCCTCTACTCCTAGTCGCTGTCCGCCACTCCAAAACCCACGAACCCTTGAAATCCCCAAAAACCCCCGATATCCCTGAGTAAAAAACCACCCCGGCCACAAAAAAACCCCAATTTCTACCTCGCCCATTCTCGGAAACCTAGCGAAAAAGAGTTTCGAGTGTTAGGGGAGGGGCGATGGGTAGTTTAAGTGGTGGGGATGGATTTTTTTAAGGATTTTGAAGGGAAGGAAGGGGTTTCGTGGTGGGCCTATGGTGGTTCAGGGGGAAGGGCGACGGCGGGGGCGGGGCAGGGGAATGGGTCTGGGAGCAGTGGGGTGACGGGTTGTTGGGCGGTGGGTGGGGGTCGGGGAGGTGGCTGGTGCTAGCCGCTGGTAGGTGGTGTTGGTTTTCATTTATTTTTATTTTTTTAAAAAATTGGTAGTTAATAATATTAGTTAAGATTTAATTAGCAACTAAATTAAAAATTAAAATCATTTTGACCAATTAAGTAATGACACATGTACATTAAACTTTTTTTTTTAAAAAAAATTACCAGTTGAACAAGTTAAATGTCACTTGGGACCATTAGAAACAAATTGATATTAAAGTTCGAATTATTAAAAAAAATTAAAAATTGGGATTATTTTGAGCGAATGGGGCAAAATTGGGGTTATTCTTGTCAATTTTTCCTAACTTTTAACATTATTCATGGAAATCGCTAAACCACTAAACTAGTGTTTGATATGAACTAGATGAATTATTTTCTCTTTGATTAAAAATTCATCTCCCATTTTCACCAAAAAAAAAAAAAAATAATAAAAAAAAATTCATCTCCCATTTTCCCGCGTTACAATTTCGCCCTTTTCCCGTCATCTTCTTCCCACTCACTTTCTCTCTCTTCCTCTCAGCTACTTAACTCAAAATCAACACTTTCTCTCTCCTCTTCTCTTCTTCCAATTTTTCTGGAAAACCCAGAAAACAATGGAATCGAAGCCATTTAAGGGTTCAAATGTGTTCATGTCCAGAAATTTAGTACCTCCCGAAGTGTTCGATTCTCTTCACGATGCCCTAAAACTCAACGGTGCTACTGTCTTCCTTTGTTGTGATCCTTCTCGCAACTCTCCCAACGATTTTCATGTCATCGCTTCATCTCACCATGTCTGAATTACTCCTCTTCTCTCTATTTTTGCGCTTAATTTCTAGCTATTTTTTTATTTTTGTTTCTGGGGTTTTCAATTTTTGCAGGAAAAATTTGAGGATTTGAGAGCGAAGAAATGCAATTTACTAGGTAATTTGCGTGCTTTTATTTTGGGATTTTTTGTTTCAATTGGTAATTTGGTAGATAATTGATGAAGACTGAATGACTTGTTTGATACTTACTTTTTAATTGGATTCTTGCAACTGATAATACATAATCAGAGTTTTCAAAATGTGCATTCACAATAGTGTACTGTGAAAAAAGAACATCGAAAGGAAGTGGAGGGAGTGGTATTTATAACTGGTTATTGACCTTGCAGGATGCAAGTATTTTAGGTGACTTGTTATTGTATGGTTGTAATTTTGATAGGATTGTTGTGGTTTGAGGTGTGAGATGATCGACACAGATACGATGATTGGTGATGATTTTTGTTGAGGTTGCATAATATTGGGATGATAATGGTGGAAATAGAAGGGTTTGGAAAGATATTGGTGGATCATATTAGTTGTAGAGTTGTAAGAGCAACAATGTTAGCATTGTGATGTTGTTCTTTTTGTTTCCCTGTGTGTATTAAATTGTATTTTGTCAATATTGGTATATTCTAAATATATTTTTTCATTAAATAGATTAGTGTTTGAAACCCTTCATGTGAAATTAGAGGTCTTGTATTTGACTTTAATCCATATTTTTCTACTTGAAAGGTTTGTAAATCATAATTAAGACCAAGTCATGTATAACGTGACAACATGTCGTTGTAAATGCTAAGCTTGAAGGTGATGTCATTGCCAATGTTCTGGTGGAGGGTGCCATGCGGTATGGTCTTGTGAAAAAGCAATACCTTTATTTTGAAAGAATAGTATGCTTAAAGAATAAGTACTTATGTTTATGTTATATCATTTGATACGTGCCCGTGAGTGTTGTCATTTTACTGGGGGCTTTTAGTGGGTGTCTTGTGTGGCTAAGTACGAGAGTACACTTTCTAGAGTGACCGATGTTATTTTATAGAGTGACCGATGATGTTATTGCCCTTTCATGTATTTCTCTCAAGTAGTTGTATTATTGTATAAAACTTACACTATATAGTCTTTCTTATTGGGAAATCTGGATGGTATTTTCACTGTGGTTTGCTCTAATGAAAAGCTAATATATTGGTGAATGATGTAGAAGACACTAGCACTTTGTTTGCAATGCAAAGAAGGAAGGAAAGGAAGGGGAGGGAAAGAGGAGGAAGGGAAGGGAAAGAGGAGGAAGGGGAGGAAAGAGAAAGGGAGGGAGGGGAAAGGTGAACATTGTATTCCCTCCAAATTATTTACAAGTTTGGAGGGATTATGCTTATTAAAGAGAGAGGGAGGATCCCTCCCTCCCCTTCAATCCTTTATCCAAACAAGAGAAATTGTCTTCTTTCTTTTCTCTTCCTTTTCCATTTCCATTTCCTTCTGTCCAAACAAACTGTTAACTTCCAGAAATTGTTGGACTAGAAATTGAAGGACAATGCATCTGAGTTAAGAACCAAATGTGTATATCTTTTTGATTTATGGGTTTCATTGCTGGTCTCACATGGTGCTGAGCTTCACTGAAATAGCTGCTTTATTTCTTGTATGATCATCAGCTACATTTGACTGGTAACGTTTGAATGGAAGGTATTATTTATTTCATGTCCCTTGTATGACCATGAGTCAAGCAGTTAATGCCGAGATTTTTTGTGTGATATTTATGTTATCAATTCTATCACACACTAAAAGTGGAGCAGTCAATCTTGTGTTTTAACTTTTAAGAACCTAACTGGTTGAAAATTTATTTTCAGTTGCTGTACTTTTCAGTACTGTCTTCAACCCATAACTCCTTATGATTTTTTTTCTAAATAATGGTTGTTTGCATAATATTATGTTAGGTGCATGATAGCATATGAAAGATCCCGCTACAGTGGCAGACTGATGAAGTGTTGGATTATGTTAGAATATCTGGCAAAAGATAATAAATTGGGTGTACTTTCAAGTTACAATTAAGCAATTGTATCACTTTTACATTTTGTTGATTTGATTTATACGATGTATCCTTGCTGATGGTTGATTGAATTGAATTATTTACTGTATGCATGCTGATGGATGAGGTGTAAGGAGAAACTTTTTTGTCATTTTTTTTTGACAAAAAAAAATAAATTTTTATCAAACTTTCTGCAGTCTTTCTGTAACCTTTTTTTTGTCTTTATCAACTTTTCTGCAGTCTTTCTGTTATATAATAGATCGTAAATTGTAAAATTATTACTATTTTATTGGCAGGTCCACAATGTGTTCTTTCCTGTGCAAAAGAGAGGCGAGGACTGCCTAGGCTAGGTTATTGTTGTTGTCTTGCTATGGATGGTGTTAAAGTTCTTGCATCTGGCTTTGGGCAAGAGGAAAAGGTATTATAAGGGATTTTGTTCATATTTTTGACTTTGCTTGGGAATTTACATTTTCATCTCTTCCTGAGATGCTTTGGCTTATCTTGATAATAATCAGTCATGTGCCTTTGGTTATGTATATGTTCTATTTTGTTTGATACCTCATTATAGTTAACATTTTGCAGGAAAGAATAGGAAAGCTAGTGACTGCTATGAGTGGTAGCTTTACTACTAAGACTTCCTTGGATGTTAACTTTATTATCGTGAAGAATGTGATGGCTGGAAAGTACAAGGTTTTATTTATTTATTTATTTATTTATTTATTTTAATGGTTTATCCCCCCGCCACCCCTTCTTTTTTTAAAAACTTTTGGATCTTCAAGATGCATATTTGTAATTTATTCTAAATGTCTTCTCATATGAACTTTCTACCTTGTTATTGCAAAACTCAGATGTAGTTTTGTCTATGTCAGCGACCTCAGATGTGCTTTCTGTCTTTATTATTGCTGTTCAATTCTCTTTATATGTCTCAATTCATGTTTTGGCAGTGGGCTGCGAGTAAAGAGAAGAATATAGTCACTATTAATTGGTTGAACCAATGCTGGGTTGAGCACCGTGTCGTTCCCCTAGAACCATACAGAGTCCCACCCTTCTCAGGATTGATCATCTGTGTCACTAGAATTCCTGGAGGTTAGTTTTGTATGAATATGCTGATATTGTCTCTATTAATATTAACTAAATTTGCTGGCAATTTATTAACAATCTCTCCAGATGAGCGGAAGGAGATGGAGAAGCTTATCATACAAAATGGGGGAAAGTATTCTGCTGAACTGACCAAGCTCTGCACACATCTAATTTGTGAAATATCCTTAATTTTACTAGACTGCTCATTCTAATTTATTTTCATATATTTATGTAAATTATCTTTCACTATGGTAGAAAAATTCCTCTATCCTTCTCTCTGGCAAGTATACCAGTGAATCTGTTACATGAAACTTATATTGTCATGTTGTCACCAATGTTAGTTTCACACTGTTTTCCTTGGAAAATGATTTCTTCTGCTTAATTTCATATTAGTAGTTAATACAGTTTTCTTCACTTTTAGTTTTTTCCTTATTCGGTGGCAGTCACCAGTATGCTTGTATTCCTGTTTATGATTTTAGATATGTCTTTCACAATGTTGCTGTTACAGTATTGAATTATAATTTCCCCATTTTCTAACTCATTGTAAAGCAAAAGTTTATTAACCCCTTTTGTTCTTGCATGGGAATTTCTCATGCTTCTGTTCCTTGTCTTACCTTCTGCTCATAAGATGCTTCTTGTAGATGTCACTTGTATATTTCGTCAATTAGAAATTTTGTGCCTAGTCTTTTGTCCAGAAACTCTGCGGATTTTGTTATTTTTTCCTTAACCATGCTCAAGTTCCCGAAGGTGACAAATTCAAAGTTGCAAAGAGATGGGGAGTGTCTGTATTGTTGTTCGAAAATGGTTTGATCAGTCGATTGCTCGAAGAAGTATGCTTCACTGTTCTGGGTTTATTATGTACTTGTATTGTTTGTTCTAGGACATAGGTAATGCCCAACTATGAATGCTTACCTTGGAACTATTCTTTGTTATATCAGTATGTCTCGATGAGGAAGCCTATTCAGTTCTGAGTCCTTCCATCTCTTCAGCTTCTGCCTTGAGGAAAAAACTAATATCTAAGTCCTGTCAGGACAAGTGTACTATCAAGTCACAATCTATTTTGTCATCAGCAGCAACAGAATCTTCTTTGCAAGCTGCTCCATCTGTGTGGACTACAGATTCTGATTTGGATGTTGCTCAATCTCAAAATCTTTCTACTGGTTGTCAGAATGTCTCTTTCATTTCCAAGGATGAGGAAATTGAACGACATGATCTTCCTGGTGATGCCAAGGAGCTGGATTGCTATATTGCTGATGATTCAGAATCTGATGATGGCTTATACCTATCTGATTGCAGAATTTGTCTAGTTGGTTTTAGTGCTTCTGATGTGAGAAAGCTAGTTAGTATTGTTCGTAAAGGTGGGGGCTCTCGATACATGTCATGCAGTGAGAGATTGACACATATAGTTGTTGGACAACCATCAGATGCGTAAGTCCTCTTGCACTTTTTTTTTTTTTTTTTTTTTTTGTGCTGAAAAAATGCTATGTTTTTAATTTTTTTTTTTTTTTTTTTTGTTATGCTTGAAATAGTCCCTTTGCTTTCCCAAGTGTAAAAATCAGTCATATCATCTTTCTAGAATCCCTTTTTGTGGGATCTTACTGGCTAGTTTTTTGTTCAGTTGTCAGCTAGTGATTGAGTCCCATACTTGCTAGCAAGTTGAAGGTTCAAGTTTCACCCCCAGAGTAGAACAGCTTCTAGTAGATCTCATGCTTTATGCTTCTCTTCTATTTATGATTTTTTAAAGCAACTTCTTTTTTGATATGTTGCACTTATGTTTTATCTCTGTAAAATCTAAGATAGATATTACCTTTTACATCTTGCATTGTTTACCAGAGAAAAGCGGGAGTTAAGAGGCTTGGCGGCTCATGGTGTTATACGTGTTGTTAAACGGAACTGGCTTGAAGATTGTGATCGTGAAAGGAAAGAGGTCCCTGTAGTTCAGAAGCACATTGCTTATGATTTACTTCTTTGCAAAGGTCTCTTTCATTGTCTATCAATGACTTCTTTTTGTTTGTTGAATTTTATCTATTTATTCTAGTTGCTTGACTTTTCTTTGTTTCTGTGTATTCTATTTCAAATGGTTTGGACTAACTTGGTGAATGGTATTCAACTTTTTTCTGTCCTCCACACTTGTGCTATAAAGATTCGATGAGCTTGTCAAGTAAAGCACCAGTTCCTGGTGTGAGCAGTGGTAAACAAGGGGAAAGCTTAAGCATGCTTTTTAGCCCACCATCTGCTCCAAGTTCGGAAGCTGTAGGCTCGATTACTGATATCTCACTCGAGAAAAGTGGAGAAGACATCTTTGATATCAACCTGAACAATAGCTGCTCTACAGAGAGAAGTCAGAGAACAAAGACTTCTCCACGGAGTTCAAAGGCTTCTGCTTCAAATGACAAAGACACAAGTCAAATAAATAAATTACACAATGGAAAGTCTATACATGTATTCATCGGGAAGCGTTTTGGTTTTTCACTTTCTTTCCCTGATGATCAGGTTAGTTTTTTCTGATTCTTTTTTCTGCTAGGCAACCAGTTTGGTGTTTGTGAAGCATTTGACTTCATGTTCTTTTTGCAAATTATCAACTGCAGGACACATGATTATTCCGTTTGTAATAGCTGAATTTTCCCATCTTACTTTTCTGGTGCATGCGTCTTTTGCGTCATATTCCTCTCTCACCAAACATCATCATGAATGTTTAATGTCTTGTTTCCATTATCTTAGGTATCCATGCTGTATACTTGTATGACTAAGCTAATTTTTCACGCTTCTGAATAACAAACAACAATGTCAGCCTATTTCAGTTTCTGGTGAAGATAGGACAATAGATTATGATTTCATGTGCTACATACTTACATTAAAGGTCTGATTTCTTGTCAGTTGTCTCTAAATGTTTAGTTGACTTTTATTTGGGTATAACTAACCCTATGTTTAAGTAATATTAAGGCACTATTTTGTCTGTTAATGGGATAAATGAATGAAAAAGTAGATAATTTTCTTGTAGGAGTTACCTTAAAAATACTGTCAGGGAGCTTTTCTTGCAGTTTTGCATGGAAATTATGCTAGCACTCTCTCTCTCACAATGCTATCCCTTTGTCAGCACATTTGCCTCATTTGACCTTCCAAAATTTTGTAGTCAAACTGTCAGAGGGATTTAGCCAAATGTACTAAAATTGATGCCATTGATTTTTTTCCCATAATACTTGTGCCACAGGTTTGTGATGTATGTTTATACGTTGATTTTATGCGTATTTTTAAATATGTGTATTTTTTTATTTCTTTTTTTTTAAATTTTAATTTACCCCTTTAGCAAGCTAGCTACTTGTTTATCTGAAAAAGCTATAGCAGGCTGTGTTAGAAATCTGGAATAGCTTAAGTGGGAAGAGTTTCTCTCACCTAACCTTAAAATAGGTTAACACTTTTCCTAATTATATTGGGAGATTCATATTGACTGGTGTTTTCATATGTATATTGAGACGAGTCAAACATCCATAAGGCTTGGCTCAATTCAACATTTTTTTACCAGGCTAGGGTTCAGGTTCAAGCTCAACTCGATCTACAAAAGTCAGCTTGAACTTGGCTTCACTGCTACATTTTTAGATTTTGGTTTGAGTTTGAAGCTTGACTTAAGAACAATTTGAGCCAGGCTGAAACTTTGAGTATAGTCTGTAGGATTGGTTTTCTGATTTTGAAAATGGGGAATCACAATCTTCAATTTTAATTTAGTAAAAAAAAATTGTCAATTAGAGGTAGTTGATAGGGAAGAGAAAAAAAAAACAAAGGGTTTATGTTATGTCTACTTTAAATGGAGGATTTATTAAATATTATCTATCACGTAATTATGTTTGCCACGCTCGCAAGACTATGGGCAATATACAGTTTAATTTGAGTTTGGCTTGTTAAATATTGAAACTCTAATTTTGATCTAGAATTCAATTTGCTAACAAGCAAAGTGAGCCGGAACAATTTTTTTTTTTTTTATGAGCCAATGCTGAATTTTTTAAACAACAGTAGTGTCTGTCCGTTCCTAGTCATATCCCTCACCTTTCCCATTCTTCTCATGACTTCCAGTTGGGCATGTATAAGGAGAGTTTTTTTTTTGGGGGGGGGGGGGTGGTGGGGGAGACCATTTCCAAAATAAGGAATATGAGAATGTTTGGGTCTTAAAATGTGTGCATATGGACACTGGTGGCAAACTGGCAATTATATTATGGTTTTAAACTCCATGCATATATAATAGCTGTCAGCTATCTCCCAAAATGATATAATTATGAGTACATGATATTTCAATAACATTGATGGAGATCCAGGATTTTTAAATAAGTTTGGCCAATGTTGTATACAGGTGCAACTCGTGCAATGCTTTTTTCCATGATGATGCACTTGGTTTTGTTGTTGTTTAAAGTACTTAATTTGTACAGTATCTTAGCATCCAACCGTTTCAAATAGCTCTGTTTTTCAAATTTGTTGAGTATTCTAACAGACTTACTTGAATTTGTTTTGTGGGTGCTTATATATGGGGGATGGCTTAGAGAGGTGAAGTTGTTCAATGGATAAATGAAGGTGGAGGTGAGGTAATAGATGATCAGACCATCATTGATGTGGACTTCACCATTAAATCCCATGGTGCGCTTGACAGACCAACCAACACTTCGCAAACTACTTATGTGTCGAGTCACTGGATTCGTTCTTGCTTAAAGGTATTTATGTGTACCTTTTGAGGTTTATTCAACTGGTCATATTAAATACTACTCCATTGGGTTACTTCTAGTATGTTTTAATGTTGATGCATAAATTATGAAATGAAGCTTTTGATGTGAATGATTTCTTCATGATCTGATCATTTCCTATTCACATCAATGCTGCTGAAAATACTATTGAACTGTAATTAAATTTGACTTTGCTGTGGAGGGAATGATGCTTTACTTAACTGGTACAAACAGTTGGCCCAGCATCTTCTTCTATTTCATTATACCCAAAACTGTTTAGTCCATTATAATCCACATCTGAAAAGATTCACGTTTGGCCCAAAGGTGACAATCTTTTCAGATGTGAATTATAATGGACTAAACCGATGTCCCACTTAGCTGCACTTGGTATCTTGTTACTCCACGTGTTTCACAATATTTGCCAATTGATTCTCTTCTCAAAACAATGTATTGTTTTCGTATGTCCCTTCTTAAAAAGAGGAGGGGGCGGTGATGATAGCACAGTTGTTGTATGTACTATAGGTCATCAAGTTGTCATTAAGAGAAGAAACCACAGCACTTGCGCTGCTTTTTGTGACTGCAATCTGCTGCTTTATCTGGAAGACACTTAGCTGTTTGAGTAATATAATATCATTTGCAATAATCTCTTTCGACTTCTATTTTGCTCTAGCTGCCTCTAGCTAGCTAGAACATGGGTATTGGGTAGACTCCATGTTCATTAGACTTCTGTCACTATTGATTAGAGAGTACTGAAGAATTTAATGACCTTTGCTGACGTATGTCACCCTATTGAAAAAATTAACCAAGTGAGTAATTTTGCATTATAGGATGGACGTTTGCTAGATGCTGATAGTCACATACTTTTTTCTGCACTTCCCTGTCGGGTTCCCTTGCCTGGTTTTGAGGGCTTACGGTTCTGTGTATCACAATATCCGGAGAAAGAGCGAATGCTTTTGCGCAATTTGTGTTTTGTCCTTGGTGCTAAGTTCACGGAGAAACTTACGAGGAAGGTTACTCACCTGTTATGCAAATTTGCCAATGGCCCCAAATATGAAGCTGCCGGCAAATGGGGAGTACGTCCAGTTAGATGCGAGTGGCTTTATGAGTGTGTCAGGAAGGTAAGACTTCCAGGTACATCCAAATTTTTATGCTAATCGTCCATCTTATTTCTGTATCCTCCTCGTAAACAATTTGGACATGCTATTTTATGCAGAATGACATTGTTTCACTAGATAATTTCCATCCAGAAGAAGTTCCTCAACATCCTGAGGCAGGGGTTTGCACTGTGACACAGTATCCTACTCAAGCTGCTACATTTATCTCTATGGATAATTCGTCACAGTTCTCAAGTCAGTCCCAGGATTTGAGAAAGGAAAATACCATACGTTCTAGTAAAAGGCTAAGGTTATCGGAATCAAAGCAAATTTCTGATCAGGATGATAAAACACATATAAATTCTGCAGCTGTGGAGATTCATAGCAATGCTAAAGTAAATGGTCAAAGTGTTCCTGATGTTGCTGCTGCTATAGAGGACTTATTGGAGCAAACAAGCAAGGTACAATCTGCTCTCTTAAGTTGATATGATCGTTTATAGTGTTTCGTTGGATAATGGTTGTGGGTGTGGAGATATCTTAATTAGTCAGTTCAAGTGCATGCATGTTTTTGAAATCGGTTATTCTACACCTATTGTATGGATGATGAACTGTATGCTTCCTTTCTGGCCATTTTATTTGCATTTTGTTAATGTTTATTATGTAATCAATTGCTGGCTAAACCTTTTCTTTTGGATGTCAGATTCAGGATCTAAAGTCACCAGTTAGTAGAGAGTGTGAAACAAAAGTATCCTTGTATTTTGCTATCTTCGTTTTCTATTCTTGCTAACTCTGTGTCATTTTTTTACTTCCTTAATGATGAATTAGATTTATTCATCTGACTGTTCAATTCTCGTTAGAGATCATTCAGGTTCTCACTCTGCGTTTGGGCCTTCAAGACATTGGTTAAGCAGGTAACCTTCTCTACCTTTGTCCATATCTCTACCTAAAAAGTTTGTAGATGTTATGGATATCTTTGTTTCTACTACACATTTGGTCATTGGGTTGGGATGTGATTTGATTGAAATTTTTCCATAATTTGTTTTGTTTATGTTTGTGATTCACATTTTGCATCATATTTTGGCTTACCTGATTTATTTTGGTCGTAATGTTTTAGTCTAGGGAAGGACCTTCACGATGCTTCTCGAGATCTTAACACAGGCAATAATGATGGATTTACTGAAACTCAAGATTCTCAGGTCTTTGTACTGATAAAATCTCCTTTTTCATTGTTCTTTATTTCTTCAACAATCCATTCCATGGGAAGATTTACATTCTATGACTTCTTGTAGAGGATCAATAGAAATCCTTTTCAATTATCTGAGATGTTGCTAACTTAAAGTCACAATTGCAGTTGGTTGGTTATGAAGAAGATCTAAGTGGCAGACAATTGTTGTTGGACAAAGCTCGAACCATAAGTAGTAGCATGACTTAAATTTCTCTACTGACTCAATGAGAAGGAATGAAGCAGGGCTATCTTCCGGTAGGGAATGCTTAAGATGTCACTGAAATCATGGCCTTGCAGGGGGGAACTTAAATAGGTTTTCCCTCTGCAGAATTGAATTTCAGATTGTCTGACGCTCTGACTTGATAAATCATTACATTGGAATGGAGCTTTTGTTTCCAGTGATCATCATTTTTGATAGTTGGTTAAGCCTTTTCAAGGGTCTGATGAGTTACAGAGAAGTGCAGCAGATAACAGCAGCTGGACATCATTTTGCTTTTCCGGATATGACTTCCAGCTTGGAAGCTGGAATCAAAAGCTGCTGATTCACATATTAGTGAACGGTAATTACTGATACAGGCTGCTATAAATATGCATTGTGATTCGGTTACTGAAATGCATTAGCTTGTTGCACGGAAATTCCTATCTTTCTCAAGGATTGCTTATTTGTACATGGGATTCTGTATATGCTGTGGCTAGGGTTGTTTGTAAATATAATAACTGTACACTAGTGTAATGTGTAGCCTTTATGCTGTATGTAGGAGGCTGGAGGTTGCATTTTGTTGCATGAGCTTTGTGTAGCGTTTTGTTCCTTGACCTTCGTTTCCTTTAAATACGTAGTATTATATTAGCTTGGTAATCTTTGTGCAAGTTACACATAAAATAGTTCATTTGGGCCACCACAAGGGACCAATTATTTGATCACTTAATTAAGAGCTAGGCGCGAGCTATATTTTTTTTTCATGCCTAGCTAAGTAGCTATGACTTGACTCTTGATCTTGAAACATTTTAATATTCGTCCTAGCATATTAAAAATTGGATTTTCTATATTTCAAAGTGTTTGGGTCCAATTAAGCTAATTGGGCCTAGTCATTAAATGATCCAATATTTCAAGGTCAAGGCCCAAGCCTCCAATCAGGCCAAGTCAACTATGTGTCAATTGGTCCAAATTGTCATGGTCAGCCCGTGACTCAATCCGGCCCAATCATTCTCCTCCCTTTGTCATGCCAAGGTATAAAAGCCTTCAATTACACTATTTGTCATTAATACACATTAAAGCCTCAAGCATTAAATCTCTTGCATAGCTTTCTCTCTCTAAACACCGTTTGACTTCGGCATCGGAGGGGTCTTCCTTGGATCCACCCCGAGGCCAGTTTACGTGTATTTGCTGTGCAGGAAACCTCTGGCCCAGCATTATTTGGACCGGACAAGTCTTCATCCACTTCATTGGACCTTCGGCAAGGTCCCATTGTTTTCACCCGAAACAATTTGGCGCCGTCTGTGGGGAAGACTTTCAAAAAATCTTTAAGCCAATCAAAATCATCTTGCACTCATCTTAGTAGCAATGGCTAAGAACCGCAAGAACAAAAGCCTACGTCAAGGAGTGGGTGAAAGGCCTAAAACTCCTACACCATCACCTTCACCGGACCGAAACTCTTCTAAGGGTGCTAGTTCGGGGGGAGGATCATACCGGGAAGATTCCCTTTCTCCCGTAATTCACAACTCTCATCGTAGACCGAGTCCCCCTCGGTCTAACAGAAGTCAGTCCGATCATAGGACTCAATCAGTGCCCCAAAGCCAACCTTTGACCATCAGCTCCCACTCTCACACTCAGCCGAGGACCCTTTTGACGGGGCCCAGCTCGGAAGAAGTGGCGAGAGCGCTGGCGGTACTCATGGAGGCAATGAGGGCACAAAATATGTCTCCACCTCGTGATCGAACTCCCCCGCATATCAGGCATCAGCGGAGGAAGCTAGACCATGATGGGGGGAAGCCTCCCTCCTTCCGGGAGCTGGAAGAGTGGGAAGAGAATACTTGGAGAACTGAAAGAGAGAGGAAAAAGAACCCTCAATTTTTCAAAGGATCCTCTACCTCTCGGCTAGAAACGCACAAGAGCAGCAGCTCAGCCTCTCGGCCGGAATCCGCCCGCCGAGAGCGACCTGAGACTGTTCGCCGAAGCGTACTCGACCGACTCGGTGGCAAGGAGCCGAGCGTGCACAACCGCCTCTCGTTCCCTGTAGCCGAAGCCCAATCTTCCCAGCCAGGGACGAAAACCACTCCTACCTCTCTAAGAGGGCGGAGCGCGGTCCCTTCGGCCAGGAACAAAGGCAAAGCCGTTATGCTACCCACCAGTTCTCCATTCGAGCAATGGATTCTGGAAGAGCATGTGCCTACGGTTAAAATACCGTCGCACATTACATATGATGGGACTTCAGATCCGAAGGACCATATCGCCTCCTACGAGGGGCACATGCATCTCTGCCCAAGGTCCGAAGCGACCTGGTGCAAATAATTTCCCACCACTCTCAAGGGGGTTGCGCAAGCGTGGATCTCCAAGGGAGTAAAGGAAGACTCTATAACGGGGTGGGACGACCTGTCCACCAAGTTTAAGAGCAAATTCTCCACGGAAAACCGCCGAGAGAAGACCACTGCTGAGCTCATTGGGCCTGCAACAAGGGGAGACCGAGAGTCTCCGGGACTACTTGACCCGTTTTAGCAACGAGTCATCCAGCGTTTCTTAGCTGGACCAAGGGCTGATAGTTTTTGCAATGCAGAACGGCCTTCAGCTCGGAAAGTTCCTAGACTTCATGGTCATGCACACCCCGCAGACCTTGGAGGAAGCTCTGAATGCCTCGGATAAATTCATCCGAGCCGAAGAGTGGAACAAAACAAAGTCCCAACCCCAATCCGGGAGTGGGAAGCAAAAACAACCGTCTGAAGGCCAAGGCCAGAAGACGAAAGGAAAGGCGAAAGCCTCGGAACAATCTTCGGCCAACGAGCCGAAGAAGGAAAAATCTGCCCCGTTAACAGGCAGATACGAGTCTTATACCCCGCTAGCCCTTCCGCGCGCAAATATCTACAGCATAACGAAGGAAGAGCAGAGTTATAGGAAGCCGAGACCACTCCCCGAGTGGTATCAGCGCAAAAATAAGAATCAGTGGTGTGAGTTCCACGAATCACCGAGACACAACACTGAGGAGTGTATCCAGCTGAAGGACCAGATCGAAGATATGGTCCAGAAGGAGTACTTGAAAAAATACATCGCGGATCACCGCGAGAAAAAAGAGGCTGAGAAATCCGAAAAGGACTCTCGGCAAGAACTTGACTTCCCCCGGAAGAACAGTAAAAGCACGGAGGGAAAATTCCCCCCAATTAATGTTATCTCGGGAGGAATATGTTCTCGGAGGGAACACAAACGACACCTTAGGGCTCTGACCCACCAGGTGAACAATGCGAGCATTCAGCCTCCTCAGTCGCCGGTGCCGAACATGACGTTCACAGCCGCCGACTGCCGGGGGGTAACGTTCCCTCATGAGGATCCGTTGGTGATCATCGCCACGGTGGCCAACCACGACGTCAGCAAGGTTCTTGTTGATGGTGGCAGCGGGGCAAACATTCTGTTCCGAAAGGCCTACAATCAAATTAAGCTGAAGCCCAAGCACCTCACGCCGGTACCCTACCCGGTATCCGGATTCAATGGGGCCTCAACTTATCCAGATGGGAAGGTGACACTTCATGTCACCATCGGCTGCGATGAGGCAGCCAGGAACGTCATGACTTAATTTTTGGTCGTCGATGCTCCTTCTGTGTACAACGTGATCATGGGGAGACCCATTATTCACGAGATCCAAGGGGTAGTCTCGACATATCATCAACTGATGATCTATGTCTCGGATGCCGGCTACCCCGAAAGGATCGAGGGCAGCCAGAAGGAGGCCCGAAGGTGCAACTACCTCAAGCCGTCCACCAGTCGTAAAAAAGAGGACGACGAGGACGAGGAGGAGAAAGATAATCAGCCGAGCGCAAAAAAGCCGAAGGGTCTAAGTGCTTCGGCTCAAGGAGACCTGGCCAAAGAAAAAGGGACATGAAAAGAAAAGGCTAGCTCATCATCTGAGCCGAAAGACTCAGAGAGCCAGCCAAAAAAGAAGAAATCTGGAACTCCTGCTGACATAGACAGCAGACTAGAAAATGAGAAGTCCAGCCCCACGACGATGGAGCTGGACCATCAGACTGAAACGGTCGAGTTGACCGAAGGAGACGCTGAAACGTGCGTTACAATCGGATTGGACCTTGATATGAAAGTCCGCGTCGAACTCATCCAACTCCTTTGGGACAACCGAGATGTGTTTTCTTTCTCGGCAGCTGACATGCCTGGGATAAGTCCAGACCTCATCTCCCATAAGCTTAATGTCGACCCCACGTGTCGACCAGTTAAGCAAAAGAAGCGGAACTACTCCGCAAATAAGAACCGAGACATCGCAGCCGAGGTCAAAAAGTTGCTGGATGCAGGTTTCATCGAACCCTATCAATATCCAGAATGGCTGGCTAATGTTGTGATGGTTCAGAAGGCAAATGGCACCTGGAGAATGTGCGTTGACTTCACGGACCTAAATAAGGCGTGTCCGAAGGATTTTTATCCCTTGCCGAGGATCGATCAGCTAGTCGACTCGACAAGTGGCCACGCCTTGCTTAGTTTCATGGACGCATTTTCTGGGTATCATCAGATCTTCATGCCCTTCGACGACCGAGCAAAAACGACATTCGTTACGGACGCCGGGGTGTATAATTACAAAATGATGCCCTTCGGATTGAAAAATGCGGGGGCAACATATCAGAGGCTGGTGGATCAAGTTTTTGCCGAGCAAAAGGGCCGAAACATGGAAGTCTATGTTGACGATTCGATCGTCAAGAGCAAAAAGGATGAAGACCATGTTAAGGACCTGGCAGAAACTTTCGCCATCTTAAGAAAGCACCAGATGAAGCTGAATCCGAAGAAGTGTGTCTTCGGCGTGAAGTCAGGGAAATTCCTTGGTTTCATGGTCAGCAAAAGAGGGATTGATGCCAACCCCGCCAAGGTGCAGGCAGCACTCGATCTTCCCGAGCCGAAAACGAAGAGGGATGTTCAGCGGCTCACCGGAAGAATGGCAGCCCTCTCGAGATTCATCTCCAGGGCCTCGGACAAAGGGTTACCTTTCTTCAAAGCTCTGAAACTCCAAAAACAAAAAAGCTCGTCTGGGAAGACGAGCAGAAAGAAGCCTTCAAGCAGCTTCGGGAGCACCTGGCTCAACTCCCAACGTTAGCTAGCCCAGTGGAGGGAGAATCCCTGTACTTATACGTGGCTGTCAGCCCAGCCACCATCAGTGCAGTGCTGTTGAGGGAGGAAAACAAGGTTCAACAGCCGGTCTATTTCGTTAGTCACACTCTGACGGATGCCGAGACTTGCTACCCCTTACTTGAAAAAGTTGCTTATGCAGTGGTGGTAGCCGCTCGGAAGTTAAGACCCTATTTTGATTGTCATCAGATAGTGGTTTTGACAGATCAGCCGCTGGAAAAGGTTCTGGGCAAGGTGGAAAAATCTGGAAGGCTGGCCAAATGGGCTTTTGAGCTCACAGAATTCAGCATCAGCTACCAGCCGAGAGCAGCTATAAAGGCTCAAGCTCTAGCAGACTTCCTGGCCGAATGCTCATACCAGGAAACGCTAGATGATGAAAATAAACCTGGACCGTGTTCACGGATGGATCCTTCACCGTGAACGGTTCGGGGGCAGGGGTGGTCATAACCTCTCCTGAAGGCAAGTCCTTTGAGTACGCACTAAAATTTTCATTCAAAGCTTCGAATAACGAAGCCGAATATGAGGCG